AATGTGGCGTGCCTCAGCTTTCAAGGTATATGCATATATTGTATACACCACACACGTGTTTGCGCAGATATACATGTATATATATATATACAAATATAGCATATTTGTATATGTATATACAATCATATGTATAACATGAACAAATGTATATGTATGTATAATATATATATATATTAAGTGATATGCTGGCGATTCAAGTTCCGTCAGTTCGGTGTCGAGAGTGCTCTTTGCAACAGCTACGATCCTCACGAAGGTGTATTAGGCCTCAAATGTACCTGTCAAAACCCAGAAATGCCCAAGGCGATGACATGGATCTAACATTCGAGGGAGTGGGCCATCGATACTTTGGTTGCTGTCTATCGGAACGACATATACCTCGGATAATTTTCGCCCACAAATAATCCTGCAAAACTTCACACATTCACGACATGAGTCGCTGCTTGAATGCAAATGCATCAGCAAATCGATAAAGTTGGCTGAAAGCAGATATCACAACTCCCCCATGTTCGTCTAGTCATCTCGTTGACTTGCCATGAAGGGAGCTGTGGCAGTTCAACTGCATGGCCAGTTGCCGGCTTTTTAGTGGCATTTCGCTTCAGATGTATGTTTTGCAGAGTCTGTGCGCTGGGACAGTCCAAAAGATCATGACCCCGTGGTAGGGACGCCACGAGAAAATGCCCATTTTGCCGGCCTCGTCGTTCAAATCCTCCACAGCCTGGAGCCAATTGAAATCCACCCAGCTTGTGGTCATGGGTGCACTTGCATCAGGGGATGGCACTGATCAAAACGGAAAACGGTGAAAAAATGCCAAGCAAAGCGACCGAAACCAACACCAAGTCGTTCAGTTGGAAGGCTAGTGGCAAAACTGAGCCCTGTCAGTCGCTCGTGTTTCAGCTTAGCCGAAGCCATACCTTCGCTATGTTCTGCAAGAACTGCAAATGGTTCGTACCAACACCAAATGAAGATGACAGTAACATTACTCCACAGCAAAGTACAAAAGCTGGTACTGCTTCGGAGCCCAAAGAATCAACAGACTAACGCATCAAGTGGGCAACGCTAGCCGTCAGCGCGAAGGGGTCCCGCAGCCAAACTGAACCCCAAAGCCTACACAGCAAGCAAGCGCCAAACCAGTCAGGGGGAGGAGGAAACGAACGGCTGCAACCAAGCGTGAAGGGAAAAAGAAAAACCAACCAGGCCACAACCTGCACTATAGGATGCATAGACAGAAATCACATTGACAACTTACTTGTGCAAGCATAGCTTGACGCGCCACAACCTACCTTCTCCAAACTCTTAAAGAAACTCCCCGTGGACCTCCACGCTGCCTACATATGCTTGTTGAGAACCACTCCTACTCCTTGTACGCCTCTAGGAGCAGCCTATTCTATTCCTGAAAACAGAATAAGGTGTTCCCCAACCTTTAGCGACCCTACCGCGCGCCCTGCGCAGCGATGCTTTCACTCTCGCTGTGTTTCTGGCAGCCATCAGAAGTGGTTGCGCACAATTTATGGACTGTGAAACCCTCACACTGCGACCTTCGTTTGCCCTACTAAGAACCAGATGAGCAAGACAAGACCAGCAAATCCAGGTCGCTTTCCACCCAGTCACCTGGAGCAGCATAGGCAATTTTCCAAACGCAAAACAAAAACATCCCAAGCATTGCTACTCCTGGAGGTGAAGGTGTGACTTGGGTAAGTTTAAGCCAAGCAGGGCCAAGGTAAGCCACTGGGCTGCGTTCAAAACCCCTCCCGGCAAAACAACACCATGCACCCATGGAAGTGCGCCAACTGGAGGACTTCTCACTTGGAACTGGGTAGGACCTGTGGTTGGTTGCTTCGAAAAGAAAAAATACACAGGTGGCTTGGGTTCAAAGGCGTGTTTGGTCGCTTGTGGGCAGAAACAAAACAACACATGGGTTCTTGAGCACGGGATGGCCGCACGAACGTGAGTTCTCCGGCCTCAGGCTCCTCCCTCTCGGGCGCTGCAGGGCCTGTTTTTTTTTTGGTACCATTTTTCGGGTGTCGTTGGGCTCGTTTTCCTGTGTTTTGTTTCTTCTTCTTTTTATGTTTTATTTTTATTAGTCTTTTGTTGTTTCCCCCCCTTTTTCGTTGTTTTTTTTAAATCACCAGTTGGTCGAGCTCCGGCCGGCTGCTGTGCGTTTGAGAACTGGGTGAAGCTTTTTTCTCAGGCGGAGGGGAAAATAGAACGCCAAAGTCGATCAAAGCTGCAAAGTCACCATGGTGTACGGAAGGGTGGTGAGAACCCTTCTGGGGGGTTCGCCTAAGAATCGCTCCTGACGGATCTGCAAACATGTCAGATCGATGTGGCCTTTGCGGCCGACAACATCCCAAATCTGAAACGAGGATGCAGTTGATGGTTGAAACAACTCAGCTGACAGAGCCGGACAAAATGGGCCATGAGCTACAAAATGGCACTTCAGCCTTAGACGTTGATCGCCTGCTCTTTGCTAAGGAGCTACAACAAGATCAATGCGAACGCGTGAGTAATGTGATGATCCAAAAGATGCGCCATCCCCACCGAAAAAATGACCTTTCTACGTAAGGTTGTTTCGTCATTCCGCGAGACAGCAAGGATTCTTGCCAAAAAATGCGTGATTCACTTGCTAGGACCTGCAACCAATGGTCAACCTGCCATGACTTGCCAACCGGCCAAGAAACTTTCAAGACGCTGTCGGCCCAGGATGGCAAACACCTGAGGGACCGATAAACGGGGGAAACCAAAGAGTGACTTGGATGTGACTTGGGTATGGGTAAAAATTAAACCACCAGGAAATGGACCGCAGGTTTTAGTCCTTGGTTCCATTTGCCAGGCTTCCATTTTGGGCACCTATTTTTGACCCACAGCCACTTTGGACTGAGGCGAGGAGTGTCAGGACATGCGTTCTCCCGCAAACGGCCGCTCCGCGCGCTTCGTCGGATGGTCTCGTTGCCCTTGGCAGCCTTCTCCTGTCGACTCAAAACTCAAAGCAACCGAAACCTCGCAGCTTTTGCGGCTAAAGGCAACATTCGTAGATGCTCGTTCATAGCGAGCCGGACAAATTTCATGACAAAACCAAGGTGAAAGAAAGTAGATGGCACAATTCAATTCGATTTCTGCCGGGGGAAAGACACATGCCGGGGAAACCATGCACGGAGCTGCCCGAACCGCGGCTGGCCGTCGCTTGGTGCATGGATTCTGACATGGGGCAGCAGCAAGCCCGGTTCTAAACCGAATCCAATTGGGACGTCAGACTGTACTTGCTGATGGTCCTACGCATGCAAATGACCACAACTTCGAAAACCGTTTTGCGAACGGAAGACTACATGTGGTCAGCAAACAAATGAAAAACATCTGCACAGAGTCTCTCTCCTCCCTCCCAAAAACTTGGCCCACACTTGGGACTCGCCACCCGCTAGGCCCGCAAAGCTGAATGAGGCCCGTGAGACAAAGTGTCCCCCCCTGTTCAAAGGGAAACCAATAGGAAATCAAAGGGAAACCAATAGGAAACCAACCAGTTTAGGTCACCGATTTGGATTTCAAACCAACAAGGTCGCCTTGAAACCTCATTTTAGGGACGCCAGACTTTTTCTTTTGAGAAACCCATAGGATTGAGGAAACTCAGATTGGAACACCACTCTCTTGGCCGCATCTGAGTATTTGAGGCATCTCAGATCAAGCCAGCTCAGCCAGTCGCTGGCAGACTGGCAAAGCCTGGAAATACGCCCTTTCAGTAAACACAGAAGCTGCCGGCACGGGGGTCATCCAGATTGCCCTCATATCAAAGTAGTCTTGTGTCTACTTCCATCACCGTTATAGAAAGGGCAAATAGTCATCATGGGGGCTGGGGGGAGGGAGGGGACGGGGAGGGAGCCCAAATAAGCCCTTATTAAGCCCTTAACAGGGCCTTATTTAGGGCTTATTTGGGCTCCCTCCCCTCCCTCCCCCCCAGCCCCCCATGAAGTCAAATATTACCAGAGAATGAGCCTCGCGCTTCGCACAGCATCGCCAACGCTGTTTTAAGCAGCAATCGCGCCTTCAGACATGTCCTGGTCCAGCCAGAGCGACGGCTACCAAACTGCTTTGCTGGTCTCAGCATGCATGCCTGCTAGCAGTTATAAGGCTTGGTCTCGAAATTAGGTGATCTCTCAAAATAGTGGGTCAACCCCCCCCAAAAGAAAACACACACACACACACCCATATTGCTCAAAGGTTCTTTTCGGAAAACACATGTGAGTTTGTTGGCCAACCGACAGATCTGAAATTCCGGCAGGCGCCCAAACTGCCCCAAAGGCCCTGCACCCTCTCGAAACCATCTGGCGGAAGAAGGCCATTTGTGCCGTGATTGAAACTATTGGGGGATGGGAGTTGAGTGAGGATCCGGACAAATTAAAGCCAATGCTTCTTGACGCAACCCATTGTTTCCACATAGCAAAAGGCTGTGGCAACAAAGACAACACGTAAGCTCCCATTCTCCGGACGTAAGGCACCCAGTCTATCCTGTTTCAGTCCATGGTTTTTCATGCCAAGACTGGCCGCAGGCGAATCAGCCTGAAAAGCCTGCACATTGCAAGTCGTGAGCTTGGCGCCGTGTCTGGCATCGTTTGCGTGGTGACTCCCGTTCCAGGTTGACCGGAACAAGACTGTGTCAAGGTCAGCAAGATTGAGAAGGTCAACAAGCTCACTTGGTTCAACCAGCTCAAACTGGGCATGTTCAAGCATGCTGGTTTTGGGCTGCTGGGCCTCAAATGATTGCAATGAATCTATGTGTTTTATGTGTTGCTTGGACACCATTTACTGGCTAGTAAAACGTTGCTTCAAGTTGAATCAGACTCGTCTTGGTCTGGTCATGATTTAGTGTCAATTTATCAATTCAATGCTCAAAATGCATAACATTTATTGGTGAGCCTTCCCTGCTGAGACAATGTGAATGAAAGCCTCTAATAGTCGAGCAGTTTCCGGGTCATGATTGCAGGAGTCGTTGTCTACGGGGAGGGTCCTTGCAAGCTCTGACCGACCTACCCGCTGTCGAAACCAAAACCAAACCGCCACCAGCTTGGTGGCTATTGCTTCCTGTGCTAAACTTATCTTCTGTGTTCTGGGAGATTGCATATAGATATTCTTTTACCTGCTTCTTTTGGGGGGGACATGGGGGGACCCTCGTTTGGCTGGTTTCAAAGGGAAAGCAAACGGAAACCAACCATTTCGGCGGAGGGAGACACGCCGGCATGCTCCCTGAAAGATAAAAGTTACAGATCCAACAAGATCCAATCGAACAGTCGAGCCAGAGACGTTGCGTTTGTGTCACGGGCCGCTCGTGACAGGGCCCTTGAATCCGTTGAGAGGCTGCATCGCGCCCGGGTCGTCCGGGTGCATATCCACCTGAGCGAAGCGGCCGAGCCATCAGATGATTGAGTCTGGGCCATATTCAGCGATAAAAAGATTGTTTCTTTTGGAAAACAACAGTTTGGGAAAAAACACAGAACCAAGAAAAATCCTGGAATTCTCGATGGGTGAATTTAGGTTGACGCCTGGTCTCCAAGTGGTTGCAGACGCTGGCGCAATGCTCGTTTCGCGCGAAACGAGGGCAAGGCTTTCCCACGGTTTGCTTTCCGTAGGACATTGGGTGGCCTTACACTGGGAACATTTAGGACAATGGCAAACGCACAGCCGAGGGCGCACGGCTTTCTCAGTGGATTTTCCGGCGACAAAGGATTGCAACCAAACTATTCGAGTTGACCCAACCATCACTGTTGGACATGACCAAACTGCAGTTTCAATACGACTTCAAAATGTCTACTCCCTCAATAACTAGAACAAATGTTGCTGCTACCGAAAGGACGACATGAGGCTTGCAAAGCTTAACCTAACCGTCCATCGTGCGCTAGGATCGTTGCGTTGGATATGATCAACTGTGCAATTTCATACACTACACAACCTCGGTTCCCTCACAAGCTAGCACATGTGTTGCTGCTACCAAAAGGACGCGATTCGCTGCATCAGCCTCTGCCTTTGACACGAGGCTTGCAAGGCTTACTCGCCTACTCCACACACATTCGGGGTGTCTGTTTTCCTGAGAGGAATTCGTCTGTGCCTCTCCCCCTCGGGCGAACAAATTGAGGCGTCCGTGAACATGCGTGAGCTGCATCCCTGTTCACTGATGCCCTGAAGAGAAGGTCGCTTACCAGCTATTGCCATGGCCGAGGGGTTTAGCTTGGCAAATGACAGCGAAAAAACCTGAGTCCTGCGCAGACCTCAACACATAAATATCTGCAAAAATTGCACAACCCTGAAACAAGAATTGGCCCCACGCTCTACACTGGCCCAAAAGGAGATGGTTTAAAACCACCCAAAAGGGGAACATGGGTTTGCTTCTTGCTTCAAACACGGGGAACCCCTAATTGACGGTTTCCTCTTGGTTGCCCTTCAACTACCGCCAAAATCCAAAATTTCGAGAAATTTGGAGAAACACTGATATGGGTGCGAATCTGAATGGGTGAGCCTTGGATACCCTGGGGCTTTATGTCCATGTAAGAAGTGGTTCCCTATTGAACTTCGCAGCAATATGTAGGTGTGTCTCAAAATCTACCAGCACACATGGATTGCGGTTTTTGGTGTCCCTTGAAACCAAAAGGACAACCGCGATCCATGCTGGGGGTCCCCAGTTGTGACACATGGCTGTGTCTTTCTTTGAGGGTACCTATTGTTTGTGGGCTTAAAGGGAAACCGACAGGAAAGCCACTATTTTTGAAGGGTCTCCTAACACAAAGAGGCATGGGGTGATCAAAAGGTCCATTACATGGGATGACCATTGGAAAACCACAAAAAAAGATGACATCTTCCACATGGCAGGCAAAAGTTACCCATGGTCATTTCAGCGTGCCTCAATGCCATTTTGGTACAAGTTTTTGAACCACAGCCATTTGGCCCATGGACATTTGCTCAGAATCATGCTTCAAGAATTACCAGGCCGGAATTTCGCACCCAGTTCTGGCATTGTCCCTTACCCTCCAAATACCCGAATCGGAGTTTTGAGGCTTCCATTTGCTTTTTCGCCCCCTGGAAAATATGAGCATATATGTCCAGTAGTGAACTCGATTCCCTACAACACTGAACAGGGGACTCTAAAAAATAGATCGATTCCAAATGGAAGTGAACGTTTTTGCCCCGTGGGTGTGTCTTTTGCTCCATTCAGTCAGTGGCCTGGGGATTTTTGAGAATCTGACTCTTTTGGGGAGCCTCAGGCCTCGCTGCGCTTTTCCGATGCCTCGGCGATGGTCCCATGCCGAGGCACCGCTTGGGAGGCCAGAAGCGCGGAGATCAGCACCGCGACGCCCGAGGCGCCGCACATGACCTCGGGGTGAATTGGCTGCGGCTTTCTGTGGGCTGCGGCTTTGGAGTCGGAGGTGTGTGTTGGTCTTTTGCTGGGAGTCTTGCCGCCTTGGATCTGGCACTTGGCCTTGGCTCGTGCTTTGAAGACGTGTCAAGGTGTGGGTTGGTTCTCTGGTGCTTTGAGTACGCTCTGGCAAGTGGCCTGTCTGACTGCCGTGGCGAGTCCATCTGGCAGAGATAACAGCCGAGCCCGATCAGTTCTGATAACTCCAACGGCTGAATGGCTTTGCCTCATCGGATCGCGACAGCAAAACAAATTCTCCAGACGGCAAGTGAATTCCACAAGCAGTGCCAAGATCCCAACCTGCGACTTAAGAGGGCATTCGATCTACAGCGCGCACTTGGGGCTTTACGAGTTCAAATGCATCCTGGACTGTTCCCAAACACCCTGCGTCGCGAGCCGATGGCACTTCCGTCCACAGCCGGCGCGATAGGCTGGCATCTTGTTTTCAGAAAGCCGCACTGCTCCGACCCCAAGACACACCTCCGATCCAGTTCTAGCCTATCTTCCCCAAGGGTGTGCTTGCGGGGTGGGAATCTGTGCAACTCGGTCACAACGCCTCTGCAAGTTCCAAAG